TTATCAGGCTTTGTAGCGATGGTTATGGGATAGTCATCATGGTATTTTAAAATATGATAGAAAACACATTATGTTATTATTTAGAAGAATTCTGTATTCAAATAACATTGAAGAGATTCGCGAAAATTATGATCATACTTTAAATGATGCCATTTTTAAAAAATATAATATTCAAGCACATATGGCTAATTATTTGGATCGAAGGGAAGAGTGGTCGTTGGCTTATAGAAGTACTTTATTAACACGAGGAAATAATACGAACAATTATGTAGAGGCTTCAATTCGTATTTTTAAAGACATTTTCTTCAAAGATGTAAAGCGTCCAATGCTAGTGGATTTTGTCGCCAAAGTTTTCGAGTCCTATCAAGAACGACACTTGCTGTCATTTGTAAATTTTCGGAACTCTAAAAATGAAATACTGTTTACAAAAATGTTTCATTCTGCTAATGTTTCTAGAGATGGGTTGCTATTTCACAGTAGCAGGTTTTGTCACTGCTTACTTGTCACTGGAGTAAAACCCTCCACGCCTCACCGAAAAGGTGCTACTTTTCGGAGCCGGTTCCGAGAAAAGGGAAAACGATATAAGTTATTTTTTTTGTTTATTGACTCATAAATAAACGTGACATATATGTTCAAATATAAAATAAAAAGAAGAAAAAAAAGTATGGTTATTGGTTCCGTGTTTATTTTTGTTTATAAATATAAACAAAAATATGTAAAAAGCATGAATAATTGTTTAACCCATTTTTTCCCATTGTTCCATTATTGGAACAGTGTTGTGTATTCCCCATGGAGGAAGGATAATTAAGAGTTGCCGTTTCTTTGTATAAATATGGCAACATGTTTGCCTTCAGCGACATGTGGGATAGTTTTGTGCAACTAATACTCAGTCGGTAATATAAAAAGCTGTAATGCTATTTTAATTTGAAAATTGGCGGGCTTTTGAAGTTACTTCGACAGAATATAAGAATTTTACATTTTTAATAGCATTTTTTTAACACGCATTTCATGCGTGTTAAAAAATGCTAATAAAAATGTAAAATTTTATGTTAAATAATTTTAGAGGTATAAAATAAATAATACAAAATTGTATTATAACTAAATATTATTTGTTGAATTTTTATTGGTTACAACAATAAACATAATTTATATTTTCTGAATAAACAACTATTTTAAATAACACAAAACGAACAAAATTTTTCTTTAATCGTGCGAAATAAAGCAAGAGTTCCATCCATGAATCCCGAAACAAAAAGAAAAAAAAAACAATTGTTGAAAGCGAAAAACTTCCCAAAGCACATGATTTTGATTGTATATGACTAATTACTTTTGCATTTGCAGCGATTTAACTAATTTTTAATTTACTACTTCTAATTTCTATAACGTCTAATTAAGATTTTCTTGCTTTATGTAATGAAAATACTTTAGATTTATAAAGATAAAAAAGTTTGGTTATAATACATACAATTAAATTGGCATATCTAGGATAATTATCAAAATGACTATCAGAATTAAAACTTTGTTAAGGATTTCAATATTTGGGGATAACACAATTACGAATACGAATAATAATCCTTTTTTCAGTTGACAATAAAATGAAAATGTTTTTTCTAAAACAGTGTAAATGGGCCAAACAATTTACTATTACAATCAAATATATGCATTTATAGGACAGAGACATGCAAAAGTATCAAAATAAGTTTACTTACAGTAAATTATTACTAAATTTATACCTAAAACTGTATTAAATAAAAGTAAAACTCACTTAGAATTGTTTACATCGACAGCCATATAGTATTTTGTATCATTCGGGTTTCGTTTATCGAGTCGACTCGAGCATTAACGAGATTTGGGTTTTGTTATCCAAAGCCAGATTTACATTGCACAAATAATTGAATAAATTCATATTTTTTCAATTTTACGATTGATAAAAAAAAAATGTGAAACTATTACTTTTGGCAAGTTAATAACACATTTTTATTGAGATATTTTGTAATTATTCTGTTTTCTTTATATTTTATATATAATTGTGTTATTGTAAAACGGACGTACGACAGTTTCGATGCGCAGTAACTTGTTGACACAATGCGCATATGCTATAAACCCCCGTGGTATTCCCAGTGTTCCAATATTGGATCAAACCATGTGTTACTCTCTCCAGTTTAAATATGCTCGCGTGGCCGTTCTTTTTGAACAGTAGACGCTTTAGTAATGTTTAACCAAGCGTACAGTGAGGTTTTATTTGGTTAGTCTGCATATTTCTGTGAATGACGCGCAAAACTCTGTAAATTTTTAACAGCTGACCTAATGGCGTCCAAAAAGTAAGTATATTTGCTAAATTTAGGGCTCTAATATTATTTGCACTGCAGAGGTCAGTATTACGGAATGTACGTTACATGTGTTTCACACCTTTTTAGAAACAAAGTGCAAATTTATAAATGGTGGGTCGTTTTTGTTTTGTTCCTATATTGGAACACTGGGTATGAATGGGTACATTATGTTTATGTTTTGTTTTAGGTATTCGACTACTAAAACTTTAATCGATTTGGTTGAAAATGAAGACTTTTGGTCTGCTGATGTCTACATTACTCCTCCAAACGATGGAATTGAGTCAGAAGAAGATTCTGACGATGACGAGGATCCTTTGGCAAACGTTAATTATCGTAGTGGGCGACAATTGCAGTCAAAAGCTTGTGCTAAAATAAATAAACCGGACGGGGTAGTTTATCTTGAAGACGAAGTTGAGGATAATAACCTAACAGATGGCAATGGAAGTGATGACAGTGATGATATACCTCTGTCTCAATTGTTGGACTCGAAGAAACCAAGAACAAGCAAAGTCCAGTTCCGAACGACAATGGAAGAAAATTGACATAGATCCTGCATTTCCTACATATAGTTCACCTAAAGAACCGCTTAACGGCAACATATTTTCAGATCCTGTTGCTTGTTTTGAGTCATTTTTTGATGTGCAAATTTGCAGTTTTTTGGTGGAAATGTTTAAAGTGTACGCCAGGCAAAAAGGCGATCATAATTTCACCACTAACAGAGAAGAAATAAAATGTTTTGTAGCAATTTTATATCTATCTGGAAATTTTCAAGTTCCAAGATGGCGTATGCTTTGGGAAGTTGATAGTGATACATATAATCCACTAGTTGCAAATTCAATGCGAAGAAATAGATTCGAGACGTTAAAAAAATATGCACATTGTTCTGACAACAATAATCTAGAAGACAACAATAAATTTGCAAAATTACAACCCCTCTTCAATATGCTAAACGAAATATATTTATCTCATGCTCCTCTTAGCGAAAAACTGTGCGTCGATGAAAGTATGGTGCCATATTTCGGAAGGCATGGAGCGAAGCAATACATAAAAGGATACGGGTACAAAATATGGTCTTTGTGCGAAAAGTCTGGCTACCTCATACAATTTGATCCTTACCAGGGAAAACAAGCTGATAGAAGGTACATGGAACTCGGACTGGGAGGGTCTGTCGTAATAACACTTTTAGAAAATCTGCAAGAGGATGTGCCATTTAAAATATATGGGGATCGCTATTTTTCTTATGGTGTGGGATATTCAGGTACTATCAATGGTAAGAGACTTGAAAACTGCCCATTGCGAAATAATTCAAATATGAAAAAAAGTCCAAGAGGGAGCTTTGATTTTTATACAGACCTCAATTCTCAAATTGCAGTTATTCTATGGAACGATAATCGTCCTATCCTAATGGTTAGTAGTTGTGATCCAGTAAATCCCGTCTCCCAAGTTAACAGGTTATTATCAAGTGAGAAAAAGAACCTTCCTGTTTCTCAACCCTTCGTTATTGGTCAGTATAATAAATTTATGGGCGGGGTGGATCGAATGGATCAAAAGATTCACAACTATAGGATTAGCGTCCGATCGAAAAAATGGTGGTGGAGTCTCTTCGCATTTTGTTTGGACTCGTGTATTCACAATGCCTGGCAGTGTTATAGGCTTCAACCACATTGCGAAAAAATAGATTTTTTGCAATTTCGACGGGAAATAGTTCAGGTATATCTAAAGAAGTATGGGACACCAGTGTCAACAGGAGGCCGCCCTAAATCGTCAAAACCATTGCAAAATAGAGTCCATAATCAAATACGATTCGACGGTCTTAATCACTGGATTGTTCCAGCCAAAAAACAAAATAGGTGTGCTTTGTGTCACAAGAACTCGACAAAAATGTGTGAAAAGTGTAACATTAATTTACATGACAGTTGTTTTAAGGCGTTTTATTTGACCCAAACTTGATTTTTTTGTATTTAATATTTAACCACATTTTGTTTTTATAATATTTTTTGATTAAACTGTTAAGAGTAGGAAAAACTGATTTGAGTTTTACTGATCCCTTCCCTTCCCAGTGTTCCAATATTGGAACATTAGGTTTTTGCAAAAAAATATTACAAAAACAAATTAAAATCTTCTTTTTCTCATGAAATATTATTTGTTTGTCTACATGCATTCCGAAATTTACACTTTTCAACACAATTTAAAACTTGGGCATTACAGGTGGACAATTTTTTAAAACCTGGGTAAAAATGGGTTAATAGGTTTTAATAATATAAATTAAACTTCTTCTAAGGTAGGTTAGAAACAGCTATGTAATAATCCTTCTTCCATGGTGCAAGGAAAAGATCAACATGTTCAACAAATTAAATGTATTATATAAAAACTGAAATACTTTAATGTCAAATAGGTATAAAAACAAAACAGTAAATTCTCAAGAATCAAATATAAAAACAAAACGGAAAATTCTTAACAATACCATATTTATAAAATAACACAAATAGAAACATAAACATAACATTTTTGAAACACATATAAAAAAAATATTTTTATAAATTAACATTTAAAAATAAAAATTTTTTACTTTTTCTGCACTTAACCGTGATCTTCTGCTCTGTTAATATCTGCCTTGTTTTTGAAAACACTCGCTCACATGGCACAGAAGTAGCAACTGTGCCTAGTTTTTCAATAACGACCTTCGATAAAAAGGGGTAATTGTATGAATGCTCTTTCCACTAATGGATCAGATTCTCTATTTAATAGTTCTTCTTCTAAATATCTCTGAACTTCTACAATTGCTCGTGAAGATGAAGTACTAGTTGGCTGAGCTGTTGCTGCTTTTTGGTCTAAATTAGTCCTTATTGACAAACAACTTTTAGTACTCGTAGATTCATTAGTACTCGTACAAGGGAAATAATTTTCAGTCTTTTCTCGATTATTTCGGGTACTGGCTTCTTCTTTTTGAATTTTATATGCAACTAAATTTATTACCTCTTTTTTTGTTCGTTCTAATATACAATCACTTGAAAATGCTATATTTTTAAATCTAGGATCTAAAAAGGTAGATATTGTTAAGGTTCTACTACTTTCTAGATCTCCGAGGCGTGATTTAAGGCTATGTAACATTCTATTCACCATAGTAAGAGCTTGTTCAAATAATTCTTCCTTTTTTAATTTAGAAATCATATTTTCTAATCCATTTGTTAAAACAATGATAGAAGATAAAACCATATAACTTTCACCACTTACCATTTTAGTTATGCATTCCAAAGGTTCCAAAATCTTTTTGACGTCTTTTAAAAGTTGCCATTCTTCTACAAATATAATTGGCAATTTTTTTTTATCCAACAGTGCTAAAACTGTTCTTATTACTTTCTCTAGTTCGAGAATTCTTTCCACCATATATAATGTGGAATTCCACCTTGTTGGAACATCTTGAAGAAGATTTTTCGGAGTTTTGCCATATTACTTTTGGATTTCTACTAATTTTGTTACTGCTGATGTTCTCCTTTTAAAATGAGCTACTAGAGTTCTTACTTTTTTTATAAGTGTATCAACTATGATAATTGCATCCTCGGCGATTAAATTGATGATATGCGCATAACATCCAAAATGTCTCCATTTTAAATCTTTAATAGCCTTGGTAATGTTTGCTGCAATATCTGTAACAGCCAGCAAAATTCTATTTTCTAGTTCCCAAGTCACTACAATTTTTCCCCAAGTCACTACAATTTTGTTTAACTCAGTTGCCAAGTTCACACTTGTATGCGCTTCAGGAAAGCAAAAACACTCTAATAATATTGATCATGATTGAAAATTATCCTCCTCAATAAAATGTATAGTCACTGCCATAAAACTTTCGGTATTGACTGAAGTCCAGCAGTCCGTGTTTAGTGTGACAGATTTGACATTTTTAAATATGGATTGGACTTTGTTTACTCTTTTTTCATAAATTTCTGGTAACAATGTGTTACCACAGCTTATACAATACAGCTAAAACACTCTCTTGGCGGCAACGGTTTGCGTCGATTTCGTCGCGCATCGCTTAAGCTCCGCCTTCGGAGGGAAAAGATGGTTTTGGCGTTCAGAAGTGTACTTAGGTAAGGTGTTGAGTCGTGCGTATAATTTCGTTGATTGTATAATTTCGTGGAGCCTATAATTTCGTTGATTTTGTTTGAGTTAAAGGTACTGTTATTATTTTGGTGACTCGTTAGCTGTGAGTAGAATGAGTGAAAAAAAAGACATCATTCTGTTTGTGCAGTCAAAAGCTGTTTTAATAAGGGTTATACCTGCAAGAAAACATTCTTTAGTTTTCCCAAGGACCCAAACCGATAAGTAACACATTATAAGAAATTTTCATTGTTAAAAATATAATTTATACAGGGTGTCCCATTAGTGCGTTATTGTTCATTATTTTGTTGTAGACACGCAAAATAGTTTTAAATAAAAGTTATACGGATTTGAAAAATACCTACATATTTAAAAAATATCTTTGACTAAACAGGGTGTCACGTTTTTGCCTGGCAAATTAAAATGTATGTTTTTTAAATGGAACACCTTGTATTTTATTATATGATGAAATTATTAACACCCCTAAATTATTGTAAAGACGAGTTGCTACAGAAAAAATTTAACAGGTATGTGTGTGGTTACCTTTTAATAAAAGCCTTGCGGATCTACTCCTGTGATACCTGTCTTAAATATAACAAAGATCACGTTGAATTAGATGATTTTTCTTTTTATTGCTTTTTAAAGGCATATGATAACGCCAATTCAGATACATTTGGAAATCTGCAACTGTCAAATGATGAATTTGTAGAACTAATATTCAATATTGAAAAGATTTTTCAAAATAATTTTAAAAAATTGGCTACAAAAAATAACATTTGTACCACACTTTTAGAATTAATTAACCCAATACCCTTTAGTCATCCATGCTAACGTTTTCCAAAAGAATAACCTATTTTAATGTATGTTTAATCTCAATAACTAAAAAATATAATAACAATTAGTTTGACAGAATTGTCATTTATTTAAAATTTTAAAAATAATAGCAGTCGGTTGATCAAAATATGAACGGTGATTGGAGAATTTTTTTTTGCAGTGTTCTCACTACCTAGAATGGATATGAAATATATTCGTTCAATTGAAGGCAATAGCATACTTCTTCGTTTTGTAATCTGTGCATGGATATTAGCCAATCTATGCACATGCTACAAAACAAAAAAGTATGCTATTGCGTTCAACTACAAATATATTTCATATCCATTTTAGGTAGTGAGAACACTTTAACAAAATTAAATCTACATATCACGTTCATATTTTGGTCACCCAACTCCTATTATTTAAAAATTTTTAAATAAGAGACAATTCTGTTAAACTAATTGTCAATATATATTTTAGTTATTGATATTAAATATACATTAAAATTTTTGTGTAGACTCGATAAATAATAACATTTTTGTTTTTATTGTGTCCACATTTAAAAAAAAAAAATTTTAATCAAACTACATGATACTAATTTAATTACGAGTATTAAAATTAAAGTCCTGAAAGTTTCGGTGAAGATGAGGACAGAGCATCTGCCTTCCACGCGAAAAGCCCGGGATCGAATCTAGGCCGAGGACTAATTAATTTTTCATGTTTATTTTATTTTATAAATTAGTCAACTTCGTAAATTATTTTAAAATTAGTTATTTTGTCTAAATAACCTAAAATATTTTTTTAAATTTGTAGATTTTCGTTAGTGGGTCGTAGAAAAAATATACTGACCATATCGAGTGGATTGTTCATATCACAATCAGACGATTGAGTACCCCGCCTACGACGTCGTGCTCAAACTTCGTCTGTGTGTGATATGGCTATCATATCCACCCTTGTTGAACTAACTACTATTCATTTGTTTTCTTGGTTTAAGTTTTACATCAGAAATAGGAACTAAATTAATTTACTTTTTAAGTTTTCTTGTAAAAATCGATATTACTTTCTCCAAGTACAAATTTAGTACCTACCTAAAATAAGTACTACTTATGTAATTTCGTGTAATATTGTAATTCAAATTTCACATTACTATAAAGTTTCAAAATTCCCTACTTCGGCATGGTCAGATAAAAATTAAATATATTACGGGTATATTAATAAAAACTGTCAAAGTATTACTTCTACAAATCTGTATTTCAATTAATAAGAATACATCTAAATATAACCAATATTGTAAAAATAAAAGCACAAATTCTTTATAATTCCAAAATACCATGGAGTTCCCAGACCTTAGTCGAAGCATTCGTTTATCTAGGTATAAACCCTTTGCGCGAAGAGTAACACTTGCCAGACACACGGGTTACCACTTGATTTGCATCCACGAGCGTGACAAAATTCTTTAACAATTGAAGCCCTTGGTGTAAAAAGGATCGAAGCCACAATTTGTCGTGAAGTGACTGTTTTAGCTCAAAACATTTGTTAGCGAGGATTTTACTAGCCACATACAAATTATTTTACCTCTAAAAGATGTGCTATTTTTCGTAATATTTATATTTAAATAATTTTTTTAATTATATTTGACAGATTTAAAACAAATTAAAAATTTAATTTCCCAAAACTTACTTAATATGGCATGTAACCAACCATATTACACCAAGGTTTTCAATTTTTTCAATAATAAAAAAATTGTTTAATCCGGGCCCGACTTTTCCCTCGAATCTAACAGAGATAGCACCATTCCGTCTTGCTTGGTTCTCGACCGCCAGATCAAAGACGCCGACACGGAGTTGTGGAGCTGTATTTTATAAGCTGTGGTGTTACTAACGGTTTTCCTCGTTGGTACCTGATAACTTGGGTTTAAAGCGTTCACAAAATTACGAAAACCTTTATCCTCGACTATACTAATAGGCTGATAATCCCTAGTAATCAGTTCTACCAAACATCGGTCGATTTTATTTTGTACAAGTCGCCCCATAGTTTTTGGGGCGCACCACAGTTTTGTCTGTCTAATTATTTTTCTACTTGAAGAAGCTTATTTCTCATCAGTATCACTTTCTCTAATGTTTTCTATACTTTGTCCTGCAGATATGTTTTCATCATTATTTAATGTTTTTAGACTGCTTTGTAGGATAATGGACTTATCGTTATCCTGGTCATTGTTCATTTTTATTAGAGGGTGCTTTCGTTCTAAATGCTTCCTTAAATTAGTGACATAAGTTTTATAACTAACTAACTAACTGATTACATATATTACAATTGGCTTTTTTACCCTCTTTATTAGGTTTAAAATAATTCCAAATAATTCCGTCTATTCATATAAAATATAAAGAATATGATAATTAAAGTATATTAAAAAAGAAAAGAAAAAAAAAACGAAATGCAAAATGTTAATTTTTAATGAGTGAATCGCCGATATAATGAAAAGAGAAAAGTCGAAATTAATAACAACAATCATCTTGTTTATTTTGGCTCTGGCTCTAAGATGCATTTGGTCAGTTTCAACCAATCTTCAAGAAAAGAAAATAAAATGTATTTATACGAAATTTTCTCTATAGTCATTAATTTATAGACAAATTTTACTAAGCCATAAAAAACTTATCGTTATCTCCATGTGTGAAATATGAAAATGTTTTAAAAGGTGCTCCAAAAAATAGCAGTATTTTGTCACTGCTTTTTTGTTGTAGCAGAAGCGGTTGTCACTGCTTCTTAAAAATAACTTACTTTACCCATCTCTAAATGTTTCTGTTCAAAGAATCGACGAAAACACTTGTTTAGTTTCTTCGGAGACCGATGACCATATGTTTTATACTGCTTATGTAGATATTGAATTTTGCGACTGTATTTTTGGACAGGGTGGAAGATACTGTAAGCACCTTTGCGCTATACAAAATAAGTTTAGAATAACCTTTAGGAAATCTATGCAAATAAACAGCGGTGACAGAAAATAATTAGCAAAATTGGCTCTAGGATAATTTTACTATCGAAATAATCAATACAGTCGAGGATACCAATAATACAAATTTAGATACAGAGCATTCCGCAGCTGCAACAGAACTATCAAAACATTTTGAACGCATTAGTAAAATAGCATCCAAAAACAAAACGGTTGATATGACTAATGCAATGAAAAATTCAATAAAACTCTAAAAAAAATTATGACGCCTACTGACTTATTTAATTTCGTTTACATATCAAAAACTATCGCACTAAAAAAGAACATTTATGTACAACCAACATCAGTTAGCCGCAGAAAAATTAGATGTGGTTTATCATGCGGCGCAAAGCGCATTAAAGCTGGAAGGCCATCCAAGAAGGAGATACCAAACAACCCTAAAAGACGAAGATCTTTAAATGATTAAACTTACCATTTTAGTTTTTTTTTGAGTAAATATAAATGTAATAGGACTAGTGGATTTTGTATT